CAAGATTTCGTTTTGATTTTTAAAATCCATTTTCATTTCTAGAAGAAGTTTGTTTAATTTGAAAATTTCTTTTTCAAAGTTTTCAGATTTTATTTTTGAAAGCTCTAACTCCTTTCTCAACATTTCATTTTGATTTTCCAAGTCTGTTTTAGCTTTCAAAAGAAGATCATTTTTAGCAATAAATTTAGAAATTAATTTATTGTATTTAGAGTTCATGGTCTCAAACTCCGAATATAATTTATCATAAGCATCTTGTAACTCATTAAAACATTTTGAATTTGATATATTTGAGTTAGAAGATACCTTTGGCTCTGTGAGAGCTAATAGAGACATCACTTTTATTGGTTCTTCTTCTTCCTTGTCTCTATAGATCTCCTCAAGCTTGTACCACATTTCCTTGGCACTTGAACAAGAAGAAACTCATTTATATACATTAGGATCAATTGCACAACACAACATGTGCATAGCCTTTGAGTTTTGTTGAGCTTCCTTCCGTTCTTGAACACTCCACTTCTTTGCCTTCTTAGTAGGAGAGGAATATCCTTTCTTGATTATCATCCAAGCTTCCATATCAAATGCTTTGATGAATATCATCATACACCTCTTCCAATGACGATAATTTGTTCCATTGAAGTGTGGAGGCATGTCAATAGGTCTGGATTCTTCCATGAAGAATGAACCGGAAGTAGACGCCATCTTTATCGATTTAACTCTTCCCAAATCAACTCAAGAGGCGATTAAACCTTCAAATGAGTGAGGCTCTGATACTAATTGTTGAGTTAATCGATTGACTGAATCGGCGAAGAGGGGGGTGATTTGGCAATAAAAATTTTGTGGAAGCTTTTGCAGAAAATTGAAAGAAATTCCACATCGATTTAGAGTGGTTCGACTTTATCAACCAAGTCTACGTCCACTACCATAGCTATCCACACTAAGGATTTTCCAACAAATTCACTAATTTGTTCTTTCTTTTGAGACCAAATAGATAACCTTACAACTCCCTCAAGAATATACCCCAATTCTTGAGAACACTCTTTTCTCAAAGAGAAATACAAATTTGCAAACTTACAAGAAAAACCTCACAAGGCAAATATGTTTGCACAATTATAGAACAAAGAAAGAACACTCAATAATAAATACAATTGAGCACAATAAGTGTTCTTGAAAGCAAAATGAATATTGAATGAAAAATAGGCTTGAAATGCTCAAACTTGAGGTTTGATACTTTCTCTTTGATTCTCTCTTGATTCTAATTGCTTGATGTTTCTTGTTATTGATCAATGGCTTCTAAGCTTGCTTAAATACACCTTGAATCACTTCTGAACGTTGAGGATGATTAGAGAAAATAATATAGCCGTTTTAGTGTGAAAACAATTAATAAATTAGTTTGGAGCGTGGGGTGAATCGGTACCCCCTATGGGGAATCGGTTCCCTAAGTGTAAAATTTAAATATTTCAACTGTTATAAAAGGGGGGAATCGGTACCCCCTGGGGGGGAATCGGTTCCCTCCGAGCATTCTGGATTTCTCGGAGCCAAACCATTCAGGGGGGAATCGGTACCCTCTTGGGGGGGAATCGGTTCCCTCTGAGCAATCTGGAATTTTTGGCTTTGAAATGATTCGAAATACTTTGTAAAATTATTTTGAAATTGTTTTCAGATTAAAACTTAATTTTACACTCGAGTAAGGATTAAAAATGATCTTTAAAAGATTTGGAGTAATGTTTTGATATTCGAATAGTTATATCGAATATACTTAGAAAATCATTTGGAAAAATCTTAAAATTCATTTAACTTAATTTGTTATATCGAAATATCAAAATGTTTTCAACAATATCTTTTAAAGTTCTATTTTTCCTTTCGGCTATACCATTCTGTTGAGGAAAATAGGGGGCTGAAGTTTCATGAATTATGCCATTCTTTTCACAAATATCTTTTAAGAAATTAGATCTATATTCACCACCTCTATCAGATCTAACCCGTTTGATTCTCCTATCTAACTGATTTTCAACTTATGCCTTATAAATAAGAAAGACGTTTTCAGTTTCATCTTTAGTCCTTAGGAGATAAACTTTTGTATATCTTGAATAATCATCTACAAAAGTTATGTAGTAGTGTTTTCCTCCTTTACTTTCAGTGTTTCTAAAATCTGCTAGATCAGTATGAATAAGTTCTAACAATTCAGTCATTCTATTAGAAACAGTTTTAAAGTGAGGTCTAGTATGCTTAGCTTCTACACAAATCTCACATTTGTTAAAGAAAGTTGTGCCTAGTTTAGGCAGAACATTCATATTTATTAATTTCTTTAAAGAATGAATATTCACGTGTCCTAATTTAGCGTGCCACATATTAATGGATTCAACAATATAAGCAGAAGTGGTAGCTTTATTTTCATTAAATTGAGTTTCTATGACAAATAAACCATTGTTTAAAAACCCTTTCCCAACATAATCACCATTTCGGGAAAGTACAAGTTTATCTGCCTCAAAAACTAACTTAATGTCTGCCTTATTCAGAAGACCACCACTTATCAAATTTCTACGCAAGGCAGGTACATACAGAACATTATTTAAAGCCAGAGGTCAGCTTGAGTAAAACCTTGCCTTTGCCTAGCACTTCAGAACTGCTAGAGTTCCCCATGTACACACGTTCACCTACGTTCTCATCCTCGAATTCAGTGAAAAACTCATTCCTTATGCAGAAATGCTTTAAAACGCCATTGTCAACAATCCATTCCGAACTGTTTTCCACCAAATTGACTTCTGAGACCACCGCAACAATGATCTCATCATCTTCTTCTACAACGTGTATCTGTGGCTTGTTTTCATTCGGCGGTCTGAGCGGTGTTGGCATTGGTAAGCTTTGTGGTTGGGTAAACCGCAGACATATCACTTGAGCATCTTTCCTTCAGGTTTGGCCTTTTCTAACTTCTTGAAGTTGGTAGCCTTCTGAGGTTTCGTCTTCTTGTCTTGATTCCCACATTTCATGATCTTCTTAAATTTAGACTCAACCAAGTTACCTCTAAAAGATAAATTACTCATATAATTAGTAAGCTTATCTTTTAAACGGTTGGCTTCTTCAATCTTCATATGGCCCACGGGCTCTTCAAGTGAAATTTCTCTCTTCTTATGCTTAAGAGAGTTGCGGTAGTCAGACCAGGACTTGGGCAGCTTCTCAATGAGAACATTAGCTTGCAGCACCTCGCACATTTGCATCCCTTTGGTGATAATGTCAGCAACTAGGTTCTCAAAGTCATGGACTTGATCCATTATCGGCTTGTCATCAGTAATCTGGAATTTGAGCCATTCGCCGACAACGTATTTATTGATGCCAGCATCGTCCGCACCATACTTTTTATCGAGAGTATCCCATATTGCCTTGGCACTCCTTTCTCTAAGGAACATACCAAATAATTTATTTGACATGTGACTGAGCAGATGTCCTCGCACCATTTTGTTATCTTTCTTGTACTTCTCGTAGGTAGCGAGTGCAGCAGCGGCAGTTGATAGGGCATCATTATTGAGGACCGCATCAGCATCATTACCGGTAGCTAGGGTTGGCGGCATGGTAGGTGGTGGCTTGAGCAACACGTAGTTAAGATCAAGTTGCTCGAAGAATATCAGGATTCTTTGGGACCACCTTATACAATTCTTTCCATCAAGTGCATAGAGCTTGGAAAGATCGGGTATCAGTTTGCTCAAAGGTGTTGACATGATTGCAGTATATTTGAATTCGTTTCTAAATTATTGGTAAAATAGACTGCAAAACCACACCGTTAGCACTGACAGGAAAGATAAACAGTAATTGAAAAAGAACAGATTGGTAAACTGTGTCGTGGTATAATCACTGCCTTAGAAACTAATTCACCCCGATGTATGTAATCGCTGCAGTAGGCAGATCGTCCCCCGAGGTTAACACGGTCACTCTGAATTTCGTACACCCGAAACTGGAGTGGACTGCTGATGGTATTGCACTTCTGATCGGAAAGCACACAGAGAGAACTTTAGAAAACACTTGGAGAGTGAATTTTCAAATGTTGAGAGTGAGTTGAGAAGCTGAATATAGCTATCTATTTATAGGCTAGAAGTATGGTTAAAATCATCTATAAAATTTTAGGATTAAATATCTTCTTTGTAACAGCTGAAACGTCTAGATAAACCTGACTCAGAAATAGTCCAGGTTCATTGCATCATTATTCAGTTGTTATAACTCCCGAAATTATATCATGTAACCCCTGGAATTAAATCAAATAACTCCAGTAACTCCTTATATTAACAACTTGTCCCCTTTGTACAAAGCTGGAAATCAGTCCAGATACATCTTAACGTTTTTGATTTAATTTAGGAAAAGATGTTTAATTTCTGATAACTCTCATAAACCAGCTGTTATCATTTAAATTTAAACAGTCCTCGGCAGCCTATAAATATCAGTTGAAATCTTTCACATTTTTCCATTTGTTTCTTTCAAAGAGAAATTCCTCAAGAATTTTCTCTAAAAATATAGTTTCCACGCGGACGTGTCAAAGACACGTATTACAACGACCACGACCACGACCACGAATCGAGCCGAGTCAAGCCGTGCCGTGCTGTGCCGAGCCGAGCCGAGTCGAGACAGACGACGACAGCGGCGTTGCGCGAGAGTCCCCCTTGTTCTCTTTCACTCAACAAGTGGGAAATCCAAACCATAAATACCCATTCCCAATAGTATTTCCAATAATATGTGGGATTGAGCATTACCAATACCAACCAAGGTGAACGTGCCAATAATGTCATTAACAGAACCAAGAAAGAACAAGTTCTGCAGATCATCAAAGACATCAGGTACAATTAAGGTTTAACATCCAAATTGTGTTTTTTAGGATGAAATGAAAGATTAACTGGCATTTTAACACTTGCTTGTGTTAAACCAGGGAGTTCAAGGAGAAGAACGAGGTGGATAGGGTTATCATACTCTAGACCACAAATACCGAGAGGTACAACAATGTCATTGTGGGGCTAAATGACACCACAGAGAGCCTCTTGGCTTCTTCGGAGAGGAATGAATCAGAGATTTCTCCTTCCACTTTGTACGCCATCGCTTGTATTCTTGAAAATGTTCCCTTCATCAATGGAAGCCCACAAAACACCTTTGTTCCAGGTTCTTAGTTCACCTTAACTATCTTTCCTGTAATGATTAGTAGATGTAATAAACCTCTGGAAGTGACTGTTGTTTGTATACAGGGTTGATTGATTTGGCTCTTCAGAGGAACTGTCTGATTGGAGGAGATGACTTTAAAAGTGCCCAAACCAAGATGAAATCTGTCCTAGTGGATTTCCTTGTAGGGGCTGGTATCAAGGTACAAATCTTTCTACTTTATGATACTATCAACATAAATTTTAAACTAATCAAATAGTATAAAAATTGACAGCCAACATCAATAGTTAGCTACAACCATCTGGGAAACAACGATGGCATGAATCTGTCTACTCCTCAAACCTTTCGTTCCAAGGAGATCTCGAAAAGCAATGTCGTCGATGACATGGTCTCGAGCAATGAAATCCTCTATGAGCCTGGAGAACATCCTGATCATGTTGTGGTCATCAAGGTAAGTAATATTTACCCATCTTATAGTCTGTATAGGAACTTGTAACCTAAGGCTTTCCTCCGATTTGGTCTTAAATGGTGTACTTTGTCTTCCTTGTGTGTTGTAGTATGTCCCATATGTGGGAGATAGCAAGAGGGCCATGGATGAGTACACATCAGAGATATTCATGGGAGGCAAAAACACCATTGTGTTGCACAACACCTGCAAGGACTCCCTGTTGGCTGCTCCAATCATCATAGATTTGGTTCTCCTTGCCGAACTCAGCACCAGGATCCAGCTCAAGGCCGAGGGAGAGGTATAATAACCATAAAGCTCCACACTTGGACTATTAAGAATATGATCTCATTAACTTTGTAGGGTCTTCTGCAAAAATATTGATATGAAGTTTGATTCTGCAGGGCAAGTTTCACTCTTTCCATCCTGTGGCTACTATCCTTAGTTACCTCACCAAGGCCCCTTTTGTGAGTCCAAAGCATCCCTTTGTCTTTTCCTACAACTTTGGGCAACTAAATACAATACTTAATAGTTTTTTATGCTGCCTCTTTAGAGATATATCATGTGACCATCAATGGTTTTGTGTAGAGCTACTTTGTTTATTTCACATGCCTCATTAGAGAAATATCATATGGCCATCAATGGTTTTGTGTAGAGCTACTTTGTCTATTTCACATGATATATCTGGTAAGAGGGGGACAAATTTGAGTTGAAAGTTTGTGAACTATATGTCAGAACTTCAGTTGAAGAATGTGAATAGAATCATGGGAGTAAAATGAATAACAAAATTACTGCATACATATAAATTGGATCTAATGAAAGACGATTTTGGCAAAAACAGGTTCCACCAGGCACACCAGTGGTGAACGCACTGTCGAAGCAGCGTGCAATGCTAGAGAACATACTGAGGGCTTGCATTGGCTTGGCTCCTGAAAACAACATGATTTTGGAATATAAGTAAACCAAGTTGAGAGAAAAGTGGAACAAGCTTTTGTTCATACAAGTTTAGGACCATCTTCCCTTTCTCTTTCCTATTCATAAAAAACTGTTGTTTTATGTTTATCACAGATTGTAATGGTTGTATGATGGTTTATGGTTCGTAAATTACGCTGCTTCTTTTTCCCCCCTCTCCTTTGTGGAAATAGATGTGATAATCTATAAATATGTTCCATTTCATAAACTAATCTTGTGTTCCTCGTCTCATATGAGCTTTGGTACAAGGTCAATAATCAATTTGGAACCAAAACTGCCCCTTGTAATTGGTATTGATTAATTAATGCACATATGAGCTGCTAAGTCTTTTTAGCAGAAAATGAAAGGGCAAGTCTTTGAACATGGATCCACGCCTTTCACCAGCGCAAGACACATGGTGAGTGAGCTCTTAAGATAATGGTACCACATAGTTGTGTCCTGTAGTGAACCACTTATCAGTGTAGGGACTAGTGGTCCCTTGTACATTTTACCCTTAAAACCTCCCACCCAACAGTGACTGCTTTTTGGAGTTTACCCCGCCAAATTTATGTCTACATTACCGAAGAGGTAGTTGAATGAGTGGTCATTTGTAGGGTTGGTGGGTTTTTATACAAGTGGCGAGTGTGTTTTATTTTATGCAATTGTAGTAACAAGTCTTGATGGGCCAGCATGATAATATTGATGTTGTTTGGAATTTGGATAGTCAAATTGGAGTTTGGGCCCCTCAAATCTAAAAAATATTTGAAGCCTTTAAATGGGACTTTTTGAATCAACTGACACTGATTAGGGCTTGGGCCATTATTTTTTTATGAAATGGCTAAGGAATTGACAAAAAATCACAATTTTACTCTCAAACACTAGATACTCTGTGGAAAATATTATGTGACATTAATTGTAATTAATAGCAAATTGAACTATTGTTCTCTTTAAATGATTCAGATAAAACCAGATACATCTACACGGTATACATGTTGTCAATAAAATAAAAAATTCTAAATAAATATTATCTTGTAATTACTCTATAATATTTTTAAAAATATTCTACCTGTTAAACTAAGATCCAATTTTAAAAGTGTTTGTATTTGGTTGAATTGAAGCTTGTTTATAAAAAAAATTCATGTTCAAGTCCAAACCATATATATTATCCATTTATTTTTAAAAATAATAAAATTATAAATATAATTTTATATTAATATATGTATTTGTATTTAAATTTAAATAAATATTTAAATTGTTTATTTTTAATTATACTAAGCCGGTTGATTGTGAAATAAAAATCTAAAATATATTCAAGTTCAATTGAGTCCAGTTGCTCAAACAAATCTATTCAATTCCAAAGTTTTTTTAAATTATTACCACCCAAAAAACCCATTTTCATTTAAAATAATAATAAAATATTGTTAATTATAAGTTTATATTAATATATTATTTTTATAAAAAATTAAATAAACTATGTTTTAATTATTTAAATTACATGCAGGCGAAGTAAAATCTTTACACAAAATCAGCCTAATACGGGTTAATTTATTATCCCAATAAACACAAAGCAATTTATTTAGGAATGTACAACATTTGTTACAATGAATTAAAACTCGTCACTTCACGTCAAGGTGACGAGTTTTAAAAAATATTTTTTTTATTAAACTTTTTATTTGGATGTGATAAAATTTAAAAAAAATTAATTTTAATAGAATTCGTCACATCAATATAATAAAATCCCAAAATAAATTCTTATATGTCCTATTAGGTTAAATGTTTTTGCCCAGTAACCGTATTAGGTCAAAAAAATCCAATCTTTACCATATCCAATTTGGTTGATCAACAGATCAAGTCAGGTTATCCGGCCCATGAACTAATGTATCTGATTCTAAAAATATTCAAGCCTGAACTTGAGTTGACTCGACCCATTCAAATAATTTATTTTTATTTTCAAATTATTTATATATTATTATTAATATTTTATAATTAAACTTGAATAATTTTTTTTAATTATTTAGATTACATATGATTCAGCCTGACTAACAGGTTAAAAATCTCTGTCCATATCTAATTCGATCTAATAGGGATGGAGATTAAATTTTATGTTAGGAGAGTGAATTTATGAAATTTTAAGAGATGATAAATTTGTAAAAGTTTAAACTAGATTTTTAATAAAAGTTAAAAACATATCTAAAATATATAAAAATTTAAAACTTTTAGGTGACGATCGCTTCCACCCGCTCTCCTCGATCCATCCCAATCGAATTATGAATAGATCTATCAAATACCAATAAAAAAGAAAAAAAACCTTAGCTTGTGTAAAACTATCCTGGAAAATAATTATATTTTATTTCGAAAAATAATAAAAATATAATTTTATATTATATCTATATATTTTTAAAATTATATTTAAATAAAACATAATTTTTAATTATTAAAATATTAATTATAAAAAATCCATATTTAAGCCGAAATCTTCAACCGATTCATGAAGACCATTAAGTGACACATGTCATAGAATGGTAATTTTAAAAAATTTATTTAAAGTTAAAATTATATATTTTTTTTAAAAAAATAAAATTTTGAAATAGCCCCAAAACTTTAAAAACTTTCATTTCAACCCCTAAACCTACACCGACCTTCGTCCTTTACCATCGATGAAGCTCCACCCAACCTCACCTCCCCCAACGACCAAAACTCCTATAAAATCATGATCAATCGACGGTGAATCAATGTTTTATACCCTGCAAATCTTAGGATGAAAAGAGCAGTCCCACACAATTTTGACGGCCAATTGGTGACAACTGCGGTGATGTATGACTTGAAGGATGGCAGGGACTACAACGATGACGGTGGTCGTGGCCAAAAAGGGTGATAGTGGCGGGTTAAGGTTATGATTTAGAGATTTTGGGGCTTTTTTATAATTTAAGAAAAATTAGTGTTTTTTAATATAAATATAATAGTATTTTTAATATTTAAAAAAAATAAATTTCAAAATACCATATTGTGACATGTGTCACTTAACAGATGAAATTAACGCCGTTGACAGCCTGAGCACATAAAATGGTAACGTTTTGTACTATTAAGTACCGTGATGAGTAAAAAAATACTTTATGTATCTACTCATGAAAAATGATATTAGTTTGGGTACTTATTTTATATTTAAGCCTTTATTATTATTCATTACGTGGAATAGCCCATTCTTTGATATCTACAAAGAATAGATATTACAAGAGAGGAGAATAAAGGGTGAATGATATTTCCGTACGACAGGTCGTCTGTTCCAATTGAAGTATTGAAAATGTTTATCATTGAATAGGGGAATGGAATAGCCAATTTCCTCAACCAAACGTGTTGTTATAATATATTTGTTTATAATTATAATGATCGATTATATTTATATGAATATATATAATTGGGTTAATCAAATGTGTGTGTTCCTCTACAGCAAACAACTTCCTTGTTTACTAAATCATATATGAGATATGCTATAAGTAGTGATGAAGCGAGATGTTCAGTTTACGATATCTCTCAGAAAATTTTAAATTATTATATATTTTAAATATTAGATTTTTTTATCGATAAATCTGTTCTTTCTTTAGGACAGAAAGTTAATTTGGACAAGTCGACTCTGTTTTTTATCCCTCTGACCTGTATCGATCATCGGGAGAGTATCTCGTCCATCTTGGGTGTGACTGAGGTTGATGACCTTGGTCATTATTTAGGTATGCCTCTGGTTATTGGAAAAAATAAATCGAATACTTTTGGTTTCCTTCGAGATAAAGTGGCCACAAGGGTTATGGGTTGGACTAAAAATCTCCTCTCATTCGGAGGACGAGAGATTTTTATTAAAACAGTGGCCCAAACTCTTCCTCAATATGTGATGTCTTGCTATTTATTGTCAGATTATTTGATTCGGGAGATGGTTAGTACAATGCATCAGTATTGGTGGTTGGGTCGAATTTCAGAGCGAGGTTGTCCTCTTTTGGCTTGGAAGACGATGGTATGCCAAAGAACATTCGAGGTATGGTATTTCGTGACATGAGAAGTTTTAATTTGGTGTTGCTTGGAAAGCAAGTGTGTAGGTTGATTAAAGAACCTCATAGTCTATCTGCAAAGGTTTTCGGAGCCAAATACTTTCTAGGTGGGGATATTTTGCATGCCAAATTAGTGAACAATAGTTTCTTTGCATGGGGGGAATTCATCGCACCTTAATGGCTATGAAAGAATGTCTTTTCTAGCGGATTGGCATGCATAACCATGCACGGATGCATTACGATAATTTGGGTGGTTCTACCAAGGTGTCTCTTACGGGGCGATATGTGGATAACACTATGAACCCTATTCGTTATCATGAATTCATGCTTCCTGGCGTACCGAGATGGGATAAAGGATTGGTGAGATGAGTGTTTTCTCGCGTTGATGCTGACCATATCCTTACTGTCGTTATAGCTCCATGTAGTGGGGACTCTATTGTGTGGGGGAACATTACCCGGTCATTTATTCTGTTAGATCAAGTTATATGTGGTTTATTAGTGTGTTTCATTTGCAGGATCCTCTTTCCTAGGCATGGAAAATAATTGCTAAATTACGGTTTCTTCCAAAGATTAAGATTTTCTCTTGGCGTGTGGCTCGTGATGATTTACCTATTCGTAAGCGCTTGAAGGCTGCAAGTTTATTTGATTGTATATGTCATATGTGTGAGGGCGATGAGGAGTCGGTTATTCACGCTATTTGTTTGTGTCCACGATCTCAAGAAGCTCTTCGTTTGGCTGGCTTTCCTGCTCGAGTTTTCCTTAGTACCAGCGATGATCCCCTTCTTTGGTTTGAGGAGTGCTTACTGGTTTTGGGTGTTGAGCAATTTGCTGGCTTAGTTACTCTTCTTTGGAACTTATGGAATGAACATAATTATTTTATTCATAAGGGTAATTTACAGTCGGTTGGCTTCTTGTTACTAATTTCCAGCTTTTACATCGTGATTTTGTTGCATCTTATCGACACAATCGTCACAGCCTGAGCTCCATTGGGGTTAATAGTCTTGTTGATTTGGTTCTTGCTGCTTCGGGTATTCATTGGCAACAACCTGTTAATGGTGTTGTGAAAGTTAATTTAGATGGTTCCTTTGATCCGAATCAAGGCATTGCTGTGGTAGG